GAGCCGGTTCGACGCTGGCCGCGATATTTCAGTCGACGGGGGACAGCCGCGTAATTGCCGCATACATCTCGCCTCTCTAATTTCCTCATAAGCTTCGCATTAAGGCTGAAAAACCGTACCGTCGCTCTCTCGCGACCAACTGCACGCTTTCCGACCGGAACTTTTACGAATCGAGAGCGTTACGATCGCCGCTAACATTCCAATTGCCGCATTATCAAATCTCTAAATCTTTATCCGCAAGAAATAGAGAAGTTCCGATGAAATTTTTTGTCCGTGGCTCGTTCCGAAACGCTAAGGACACTTTAATTGACAAAATTTCGCAGACGCGACGCCGCCTCCGCGGTTCCGACATAAATTCCCAATTTTCGCCGCCGCGAAATGGCGAAGAAGTTTAATTGGCGCCGTCCGAAACTTTTAAAGCGTTTCCGCTTGTCGGACCGGAACACCGTCTTGTTCGTCCCTTCGCTGGCGAGAGAGGGTAAAAACGAGCCAGCGAAGGGGTTTTTATCAAGGGAACTCTTCTGTTCGAGAAACGCCGTCGTTTAAATCAATTTTCGATTGAAGGGAAACTTCTGAAAACCGGTGGCGTTCTTCAGGATGGTACTATGTTCGCCATAAGTAAACTCGCGAAAGAGTTTCTCTGACCACTGTAGTTCTTCCGAGGGTTTAGAATAAACGACCACGAACGTAAACTATATGGAGCTATTTGTTCGCGCCGTGTACTTGAACGTACCCCAAAGTAGGAACAACGAGCTGTTTTTAAACCGGTTGTTTTTCACCGATCGGTCAAAACAGGAGAAACCGGACGGGAAATTAGTGGAAACGAAGAATTCTGGGTAATACGGAGATAACGAGATCCAACGACGGTTTACAGAACACCGTTTGCCGGTGAATCTGGTTCGGTTAAACGGGACCGCCCGCCACACTGTTAATCTCGCGAACATAACGCGTCTATAAATTATCCGAACGAGCGCTACGCGGAAAGTGTTCTCCAGCAGTAAGCACCTTCGTAGTCAGCTTGAGGATGGTTTATGGACTTGATCTTGCGTACTGTTACCTTGATTCTCGGTCATTATCATCGTTGAACTGCACGCGAGCGGAAGCGTCCTAAGCTAGTCGAGGTCAAGAAGTACGCGATACTGATTTCGAGGTAGAAGATCGTTCACAGTTTCTGCCGTATTTATTTTGTCAATAATAATGAACGCAAGGGCATTTATTTTCGCTCGACCATTGTATTTTCCCGGAAATTACCCGGAGCGTTCTGGTACTTTTACATCTGCCTGCGCAATTTTATTCTGTCGATTCCCTGAACCAGGACCTCCTAAATTTTCTTCTCGGTACTCGTTTTAATTTCACGATTTTACCCCCGGAACGTAAACAACTCGTCGCCGTTGTTAATTCTTTCATACTCTGCAAACATTGCAACACACGTACTATTTGTCCTGTTTGAATTAAAGAACGTTGAATTTATTTTTGAGACTTGCAGCGTAAATGCGCTTCTAGGAGTAAAAATGCGGCTGTATTAAAATATGTTCTTCAATTTAAAATTCAACGTTATTAATTCCTTTATCATACGCGCAGTTGGAAATGTTCGAATAATTACGAAAAAAAAGTTCAATTTAGAAAGATTATTGTAGCAGCTAGAAAAATTGCAAACAGATTCTAAAATATCTCTACTATTTGTTAAATACCGCGGTTCAGAAAATTACACGAAGATCTCGTTCGCCCACGAAATCCTCGAAGAGCATTCGTTCGAAAGGAGAACACGAAGAGGGGGATTCCCACGGAGGAGCAAAGAGTTTCACGCAAGGTACCGTTGCACTTCCGGGAGGAAAGAAGTCGGTAGTGGGAGCGAGCACGTGGTGGCGCACACTCAGCCTCCTGTCCCCGTCGAGGGGAAACGGCGTCGCGACGAAGGTCGTCGTTTGGAAAGAAGAAAGCTAGGTGGTTGAATAAGGGCGGGAACGGCGGGAGAATGCGC